TAAAGCACTAATGCACTGAAAGTTTTAGCAAAAGCTAACTCTAAAGCACTAAAATAACCCAGTCAACCCATGAACACTCTTCAACAGACAACGAGTCACATATTGTGTTTCCATTCTTTCAGCTTCACCCTGAGCTGTTAACATTAATGTTGATCAATAACCTTTAAAGACCTCAGTTAGTGCTTCTAAATTTAGTCCGTAAATTTAGCAAGTGCTAATCCACTAATAAATTTTAAAATTAGCAAAAGCCGTAAAGCACTAATCAGGAAATTAGTTCCCCTGTTAGTGCTTTAGTGCTTTAGTGGAACTGTGCCCACCACGGCTGGTTTCCTGCACAGACCTGGCTTTAGGAAGGTCTGCTGTTTGGAATCGTGGTCCTGTTGGAGCCAGCCGTGTCCAGGTGTTCACCATGCAGCTGTGGAGGTGAAGTTCCTCCACCATGACACTACCACCCCCGTGCTTTCCAGCTGCAGTTTAAAAGCTGCGATCACTGTGTTCATCCTCACACAATGTAAAGTCTGTCCTTTTTAAAAAACATTTAACAGAACCTGATCAACTAAATGCACGTTCCTTCCATAAATATGGACCGTGAAACTGAGCGCCGACTGTTCCTGCTCACAGATATTATATCGGTCTTTAACTTTTGGTTTTGAGGTTCTGCTCTTAATGTTTTTCTGTTGGACTTTTCTAACAGCCTGAGGCCTTTTGTCCCGGCTGAACAGATGAAATAAAATCAGATTCAAGCTGTTCATTTTACAGTAGGTGTAAGTATGAGCTTTACACACAGCTGCAGTGACTTCCTGTTTAAACCCCTCCAGGCACCATCTGCACATTTAATCCAGCCAACTCTGAAGGACACAAGTATTTCTCCAAACGCAGAAAGTCTGACTCATTTCGTTTCCACAGCCGTGGTTCTCGAGTTTAAATGTTCAAAAGTCAAATTTGAGGAAATCCAGGCGCGTTTGTTCAGTTTGTTCTGCTCTGTTTGAAAACAATAATCCGAGAAGTTTAATCTGCTTCAAGCCTCGTTAGAGTTCAAAAGGCTTCAAACCACAAAGTGTGAACAGCAGGGATTACAGGACGACGTCAGGCTCTCTGTTCTGTAAACTTTAGAAACAGGAAAAGAAAAAGTGCAGGAGGTTTAGTTTCACAGTCAAGTTATTTAAAAAAAATCTAATTTTAGAAACAGGAAGTTGATGTTTTGATATGTTTGTGTTTGAACAGGGCACACGCTGCAGAGCACTGAGACACTGAGCCGACGCCTGAAGAAAACGAGTCAAACCCTGGAAATTAAAAAATTATTCTGTTTTTCTTTCTGTTACTAAAAACTTTCTTTTGTCTTTCATAAAACGATGTTGAATTAAGCTGAAGTAGAATGTTTTACTGCACTTTGTTCTTATTATAAACATGGTTTGTAAAAAAAAAAACTGTGAATGAAAACGAGGTTTTGCAGCAACTTAAGCTAATTTATATTTTTAGCAGTGATTTTTTAAATAAACCTTGTTTTGTTTCCAGATTGTAATCCTGTTTGATTCTTTCTCTTCATTTTCAAAACATCAAACTTTAATCTGATTAATGTTCTTGTTTTTATTTTAGATTAAATTGAGACAAAGCTTGTCAGACGTGTTTTAATGCTGAAATAAAAACTCTGAAATACTTCAGATTCAAGCAGAAGTGCTTTTGATTTGTTGCTCTTTATGTTTTATGGATAAATGAGTGGAAAATAATTCATTCAGACATAAATAATCTTATTAATAACCATTCTGGGAGATCATTTTATTTGTTCAGTTTTAAAGTTAGAATTGTTTTAATAAATCTTTCAGAATCTAAATGTTTACACATTAGAATAAATAAAAAATATTAGACTAGAAACACATCAGGTTTATGTTTTCCAGCATTTTTTTAAGATCTAATCTGAATTCTAGCAGATTGATGGAAAAATTAAACAACTAAACAAACGTGTTGGAGTTCTTCAGGTGAGCAGGTTTGTTTTAGTTCTTGATTTTAAACTTTGTCCTGATTTTTCAGAAAAGCTAAAGGTTCACATTTCACTCTTTTCACTGCCAACAAAAAGCTTTACAACCACTTCACTCAGATCAGATCCCAGATTAAAATAAGAGGAATCTTTCCTAGAAACACGATAAAGGGGAGGATTAGGTTGAGAAAATAAAACCTTTTTTGTCAACATGAAGGATGGAGAACATCTTCACCACTGGAGGAGGTCGAAACCTTTAAACCTGGAACTGTTAGAAAAACCAAAAGGAAGTGATGAAGCCGTGTTTACAACTAACTGTGTCAGAGGCTGATTTAAAGGATTTATCATGAAGTTCCTCTGAAACAGGAAGTGTTTGTCTGTCTTACACACAATTATTTCATATTTAATGTAAATGTTTCAAAATAAAAGGAGCTGTCAGAAGAAATATTTTAGTTTATCCCTGATGGAGACAGAACTTTAAGAAAGGAACACATCACCTGCTGACTTTTACACTTTCATACTGTATTTATACTGTATTTATACTGTATATATTACTGTATTTATACTGTATATATTACTGTATATATTACTGTATTAATACTGTATATATTACTGTATTTATACTGCATTTATACTGTATATATTACTGTATTTATACTGCATTTATACTGTATGTATTACTGTATTTATACTGTATATATTACTGTATTCATACTGTATTTATACTGTATATATTACTGTATTTAAACTGTATATATTACTGTATTTATNTATTTAAACTGTATATATTACTGTATTTAAACTGTATATATTACTGTATTTATACTGTATTTAAACTGTATTTATTACTGTTCTCCCATCATATCTTTTTATGTTTAGGTTGGTTGTGCAGGATTGTGTAGTGCAACAGCACCACCTGGTGGCAGAAGAGACTCATGACCTTCCAGATGATAGATAGATACAGACAGACAGATAGCTAGATAGACTGAAAAAATTGAAACGAATAAAAATGAGTTCATAACTTGTATCATATAATCACTGATTTATGGCATGCACCTGTTTCACATAWAAAATTTGTTTTATTTTCCCAGACAAGTCCCGTTGAGATCTCAGATCTCTTTTTCAAGGGAGGCCTGAAGGCAACCTATTTTATGTTTTGGGGGGTGGGGGAAACCGGAGTAGCTGGAGAAAACCCACACAAGCACGAGGAGAACATGCAAACACCTCACAGAAAGACCCCAGGTCCGAACCGGGGATCGAACCCAGGACCATCTTACTGTGAGACGTCGGTGCTAACCACTGAGCCGTTGTGCTGCCTAATTATTCAAATCATTGAGTTATGGCAGGCCTTTGTTTCATTGAATTTAAAATTTATGGCATGCTATTATATCATATGATTAATAAGGTCTGGCAGGTTGATGTATATGATTTAAACAAAGGGCAGGTCAATGTAGCACATAATTAACTGTATGGCAGGTTGTTGTGTTATATATTTTAACATGACAGGTGTATCATAGAAATGTATGGCAGGTCGATGTACCATATAATTAAAAAGATTTAGCACATTTTTGTATTTTAAATGAATTTTCAGTTTCAGTTTTTTGAACAAACTTTATGGTCCCAGTCTATCTTTATACAGAAGTTATTGAACTAGGAAAAACATCGGATTGATTTTTCTATTAAAAAGTACTTTATGTACAAAATAAAGTATTGGACCAAATCTGATTCCAGTATTATTAATTACCTTGTTTAAAACAATTTATTTGTATTTACTGTATCTTGTTTCTGATGTGACAAAATGTCTTTTAAACTTTGCTCAGTGAGCCGTTTAATAAAGTTGTTCAGTTGTGTAAAACTGTAAAAAGCTCATTTGTTTATTTTGTTTGTGTAAAAGAGACAAACGGTGGAGTTTATGTGAAGCTGGGTGTGTAAGAACAGACAGGAGGCGTGTGGGTTTGTTTCTTTAATATGTGGAGTTTGATCATGTGGAACACGGCTGCACACACAGAAGAGCTGAAGGTATTTACAGCTGGTTCCTCCTCCTTCACCTCTCAACCCGGAGCAACTTCCACCTGCGACTGAAGCAGTCAACTCCAAACGCTCCCAGAAATTCTTCCAAACAAAAAAACTATAAGACCACCGAGGGATTTAAATATATTTACAATCAAATCAGACAAAACTAAAAACTGTACAACCCAAAAAAAACTGAACATTTTCAAGATAAAATGAGCTTATATGCAAGTTTTTTCCAAAAGAAAAAGTAGACGAGCGTTCATTTATATAATAAATTTACAATATTCTCCTCATTTTACTGTGTAGAGTACGGAAGCATAGAGCTGTCACATGAATGAAATTATTTTTAAACTGGATCTCGTTGTAACGAGAAAACTATCTCGTAACGAGAAAACTATCTCGTAACGAGAAAACTCTCTCGTAACGAGAAAATGATCTCGTAACGAGAAAACTATCTCGTTATAACGAGAAAACTATCTCGTCATAATGAGAAAACTATCTCGTCATAATGAGAAAACTATCTCGTAACGAGAAAACTATCTCGTAACGAGAAAATTATTTCGTTATAACGAGAAAACTATCTCGTCATAATGAGAAAACTATCTCGTCATAATGAGAAAACTATCTCGTCATAACGAGAAAACTATCTCGTCATAACGAGAAAACTATCTCATTGTAACGAGAAAACTATCTCATTGTAACGAGAAAACTATCTCGTAATGAGAAAATTATCTCGTTATAACGTGGAAACTATCTCGTTATAACGAGAAAACTATCTCGTTGTAATGAGAAAACGATCTTGTAACGAGAAAATTATGTTGTCATAACGAGAAAACTATCTCGTCATAACGAGAAAACTATCTCGTCCTAATGAGAAAACTATTTCATTATAACGAAATAGTTATCTCGTAACAAGAAAACTATCTCGTTGTAACGAGAAAACGATCTCATTGTAACGAGAAAACTATCTCGTAACGAGAAAATTATACCGTCATAACGAGAAAACTATCTCGTCATAACGAGAAAACTATCTCGTCATAACGAGAAACCTATCTCGTCATAACGAGAAAACTATCTCGTCATANACTATCTCGTCATAACGAGAAAACTATCTCGTCATAACGAGAAACCTATCTCGTCATAACGAGAAAACTATCTCGTCATAACGAGAAAACTATCTTGTCCTAATGAGAAAATTATCTCGTTATAACGAAATAGTTTTCTCGTAACGAGAAAACTATCTCGTTATAATGAAAAAGCTCTCATTATAATGAGAAAAGTATCTTGTAAAAACAAGAAATCTATCTTGTTATATCAAGATAACCATCTCGTTATAACATGTTATGATTTCTTCTGGTTTGTCACTTTCACTGAAGTTTACTGCCTGGATTGATGGAGAACATGACTGAACCACTATATAAACAAAAACGAACAGAATTATTTGGGTTTGTGCTCAGATGTTGCAGCTAGTAGCACTTAATACTATTCACTCTCTAATTCTCTGAATTCAGACGCTATTATTTCAAGAACATTATTCAGTACTAACTAGTCATTTTTAGTCTAGAAATGTGTTCCTCTTTCAGATTTCTTCTTCGTAAAAAGGCATATAGTGACAGTCGTGTTCTCCATCACGCCATCCAGGAAATAAACTTCAGTGAAAGTGACAAACCAGAAGAAACCATAACATGTATAACAAGATGGTTATCTTGACATAACAAGATAGTTTTCTCGTTTTTACAAGATGGTTTTCTCGTTTTTACAAGATAGTTTTCTCATTATAATGAGATATTTTAGTCGTTTTAATGACATATTTTCTTGTTTTTATGAGATAGTTTTCTCGTTATAACGAGATCCAGTTTAAAAATAATTTCATGTCATGTGGCAGCTCTACGCTTCCGTACTAGATTTCAGATCGGGCACAAACTGAGACTTTTTAGTCACTTATTAAAGCCAAGGCCACATTTTACACATGGCAGGCAGGGAGCTACGACACGAGACCACCAACGCTGTGGGGGGGGGGGGGGGTCCCCTTTAAACATCCAAAAATATCTTCCTCTCATCTTTACAACTTTACTCTCAGGATAAAAGTCTAATGAAGTCAGGACTGGTTTCTGCTAAACGTTGAAGCTCTTTAAGGCATAAATCTGATATTTTACCCTTTAAATAAATTAAATACATGAAAATAAAAAGTTTTAAAAACATCCAGATTACAGAGTTTTATTAGACATTCCTGTTTTTAACTCCTGCTGAATAAATACAAGTGGTATGAGTACTTCATAAATACTCTTACAGTACTACGACTCAGACTCCCTTTATCCTTTAAAAACCTGCAGTTCAGATGAAGCAGAAATATTTTTTTCTTTTTTTAATAAACTAAAAGCTGTGGAAATAATACAAATGTGCAAAAAAAGATTCATCTGTTCCCTTTTTTTTAAAAAAAAACTAGAGATGCACCAATACCAGAACTTTTCTTTAGAGCCAATAAAATATTTTATATTTGAGCATCTACAAATAAAATCACTAAATTCAGATTTAATCAATCCAAAAAGGTGATTTGAATTGATTAAAATGATGGAAATTTTAAATAATTTTTAAAACACTATTAAAAATACCTGATGATGTCACTAAAATCTGAAAATAAAAAGTCACTGATGATGCAGAAATTAAGAAACTAACATTCAGTTCTGTTTTCTACTGAAGTGGCTAAAAAAAAATCTAAAATATAAATGTAATAATTAAACGAAAGGTCAATAAGTTTATGTTATTGGTCTTTTGAAAGAAAAAAAACTCCAGTTTGCAGCAGCATGTGTGCAAAAATGCCAAAAAGTCACCTTTTCGTAGCATTAGCCTAGCATTAGCTCGTGAGAAGCCATGTTACTCATCCAGCAGCTTGTTAAGCTGTTCCTCTAACAGCCGTCAGCTAATGGTTTCGGCTGGTACTGGTGCACCCCCATCAAACCTGAGCCACAGCTAAAGTTTCCTCTGCCGGCTGTGACTGAAAACAAACTTCTTTGTCCCGCTAACGGATCAGAGGTCGCCTGTTTCTGATGTTTAAAAAGAGTCTGAGCCGCCTCGTTCCCTCCGGATCAGAAAAGGAACCTTTTAGTTTTTATATTTAAACGTCAGCAGGAAGCAGCCGAAGTCTACGGTAATAAAAAAACAATCATTCAGAATGAAGGTGTGGCAGAACAAACCTGCATCAGGTCTGCATCAGACCATGATACACAGTTAAGCTTGTAGGTCAGTGTGTGTGTGTGTGTGTGTGTGTGTGTGTGTGTGTGTGTGTGTGTTAGTCTTTGGGTTTGTTTCTCGTCCGTCTGCATGCATCTGAATGTGTTTTAGCGGTTGGACCTGCATGCTTTTGTCTTCATGGTTGTTTTTACGTGTTTTTTTTGATGAGTCCCTCCTGATTTGTGTCAGAACCTGGTGGACCCGCCGGTCCGGCTCCAGGACCGTGTGGGGGACTCGGCTCAGAGCGGTTTGTGGTGGTCCTCGGCACCGCTGAGGGTGACGTAGACGATGGGGACCAGACCCCGCGTGGAGCCCAGGGAGCAGAGCAGCCAGTCGGCGTCGGCCTTCCTCAGGACCTGCAGGACGTCGCCCTTGTTGAAGCTCAGCTGGCCCGGCTCGGTGGCGATGTGGTGGCACAGGGCGCGCACGTTCCTGACACCAAACCACACACAGAACCATGAATAAGACTTTATACGATAAACCATCAGAACGGTTCAAGTTTCAACTCACTAAACTAAAACCACTAAAATAAACCTAAACTAAACCTAAACTAAACTAAACCACTAAACCACTAAACTAAAACCACTAAACTAAAGCCACTAAACTAAACCTAAACTAAACTAAACCACTAAACTAAAACCACTGAACTAAACCTAAACTAAACCACTAAACTAAAACGAAACTAAACTAAACCACTAAACTAAAACCACTAAACTAAAACGAAACTAAACTAAACCACTAAACTAAAACCACTAAACTAAACCACTAAACTAAACCACTAAACTAAAACCACTAAACTAAAACTAAACTAAACCTAAACTAAACTAAAACCACTAAACTAAAACCACTGAACTAAAACTAAACTAAACTAAACCTAAACTAAACCACTAAACTAAAACAACTAAACTAAAACGAAACTAAACCTAAACGAAACTAAACCTAAACTAAACCACTAAACTAAAACCACTAAACTAAACCACTAAACTAAACCACTAAAATAAAACGAAACAAAACTAAAACAAAACTAAACCTAAACTAAACTAAACTAAATCTAAGCTAAACTAAAACCAATAAACTAAACCTAAACCAAACTAAACCTAAACTAAACTAAAACCACTAAACCTAAACCAAACTAAACCTAAACTAAACTAAAACCACTAAACCTAAACTAAACTAAACCTAAGCTAAACTAACACCAAAAAACTAAACCTAAACTAAACCTCAACTAAACTAAACCTAAAGTAAACAAAAACCACTAAACTAAACCTAAACTAAACTAAACTAAACTAAACCTAAGCTAAACTTAAACCACTAAGCTACTGTTTTGATGCATTTAGCATTTTGCTATCACTTTGCTACTTTTAGCTTTACCAAGCTTTCTGCTATGCACGTTTAGCTTGTAGCTATTGTTTTGCTATTTTTATTTTCAAGCTATCATTTTGCTGCTAAAAGGATTTAGCTATTTTTTGACACTTCTAGCTTTTACCTAGATTTTTGCTATTGCATTATTAGCTTGTAACTACTGGTATAGTTTTCCTACATTCACCTCGTTAGTCTTTTGCTATTTTTAGCTTCTAGCTATAACTTTGCTACTTTTCGCTTTAAGCTATCATTTTGCTACTTATAGTTTTTTCTATATTTAGCTACTTTTAGCTGTACCTAGCCTTTTGCTATTGCATGTTTAAGTTATAGTTATAGTTTTAGCTTTTTTCAGCTTGTTAGCTAACTTTTTTCTACTGTTAGCTTCTAGCTATAACTTTGCTACTTTTAGCTTCAAGTTATTGTTTTGGTACTTTTGTTTTTTGCTACCATTTTGCTAATTTTAGCTGTACCTAGCCTTTTGCTATTGTAAGTTTAGATAGTAGCTATAGTTTAGATTCTTTCAGCGTGTTAGCCATAACCATAGCTAGCCTTTTGCAATTTTTAGATTCTAGCTTTCATTTAGCTACTTTTAGCTGTACCCAGCCTTTTGCTCTTGTTTTGCTACTTTTAGCTCAGTCTTTTAAAACTGCCTGAATGTCCAGCGTGTCCTGGCAGGAGACTCTGGTTTACCGTGGAGACAGTTGATTGGTTTCAGTCGGACGGTTTGGCGCTGTGGTCGGTGAGGCAGGAGGCTCCGCCTTCTTTGCGCCGCCCACTCCAATAGTCAGAGCTACAAGGTCCAGAACGGACCTGTCCAAACCCAGCCAGCCGGAGGGAGTCCTGAAACCACACAGGAGGTAAAAACACAGAGTTTACCCTGAACTCTTATTTTTATTTTTTTAATTTACAAATATTTTCTCCATAAAAACATTTAGAGTTCCTCAGTTTTGTTTTAATTTCTCTACTTTTAGCTGTTGGTTAGCATTTAGCTAATTTTAGCTCCATGTTAATAATTCAAATGAATCTAAAAAAGGCTGCTGTTATCATTTAATTTGTTTTGTTAAACACAGAAGCAGATCTGTCTCACCTGGTCCTCTGGCTCCTCCCCCTGGGTTCTGCTCCGCCCCCTCTCAGAGGAGAACCAACAGCAGAACCGAAGAGCCGGATCCAGCGTAAACTCTGTCCCTGTGAGGGGCTCTTCTCCTGGACTCCAGTCCCTGGATCCTGACGAGGAGGGGTCGGGTCTTTCTCCTGGCTCAGGACCGACTCTGGGGGGCTTCCCATCCATGAAGGTCTTCCTCTGGACCCTGAGCTGCCGGGTCTCCCTCCCTCTCCTTCCTGGTGGGCCTCGGCTCCTTCCACCACTCCTTCTCTGGTGGGCGGGGCGTGGTTCTGCCGCCTCTCGGAGGACTTCCTGCGTTTCTCTGTCTTGATGAACTTTGACCCCTCAGCGGACTGGTCGATGTAGACCTGGGAAGACTGCATGAGCTGGTACCACCAGCCGGCCTGCCGGTCCTCCCTCTGACGCCCCCTCAGGTCCGCTCCTTCGTCCCGACTCTCCTGCCCGACTCCTTTCAGCCTCGGCCCCTCTGCCTCCCTCTCCTTGCACCGATCCCTCGTACCTCGCCCCGCCCCCTCTCTCGGCCACGTCCCCTGCCGTCTAAGCCCCGCCCTCTCCCTCTTCGCCTCCGAGTCTCTGACCGGGTCGCCCGCCGCGGTGCTCCGGCCCCTCATGAGCTGCAGGGTGGAGCGGCCGGACCGGTCCGCGCTCTGACCCGCCGAGCACAGCTGCTCCTTGCGCCGCAGCTGCTCCTCCCCCTTCTGCAGGAGGCGGGGCTCGAACAGCAGGTCCAGGTCAAAGGGCAGCAGCGACAGCGGCTGCAGCAGGAGGAGCAGCTCCTCGAAGAGGGGCTTACAGGCTCCCTGCGAGAGCGGGAGGAGACCCCACGGGCTGAAATGAGCCGCTACGATGTCTGCGACACAAAAACAGGAAAACAAGTCAGAGGAGGAAGAAGATCAAAGAAAACCAGTCGCTTCTGAGCCTTACCTTCATGTGTGTACAGGTGACTGAACCAGAACTCCAAGGACTTCAAACTGAAAGATAAAAATGATGCAGAAAATATTAAAACCAGAGTTGTATAAAGTACCAAACAGTAACCGTGTTTCCATCTAGGCTTTTTGATGCTCATTTAGAAATGTTGCATTAAAAATGCGAAAAAAATTCGGATGGAAACAGCAAAATACAAAAAAAAAAATCCTCAATTCCCTAAAAAGGTTTTACGCTCGCTTGAGGTGGTTTTTGGATGATTCACAAAGTAGTTAATGCGCAAAACGGGAGGTGGAAACACATTTGCCGAATAAACTCTAACCTAGCGCATATTTACCTCACGTGACGTTCAGCTGTTTCCGCTTTCCTGCCTCGTCCCGGATGTTATCATAAACGCGCGAAAACATTGCATTTATTTCCCTACGTCTCCTGGCAGCGTTAAACATAGCCTGTACTAGCTGAATAGATAGAATAATTACAACTTGCCCAATCATTCACGAAAAAATCGCTCCATTGTCCCGAGATGATTAGCCTCTGCTAGTTAGCAAGTTTCACTTCCTGTTTACTACTGCAAAGCTTGTCACCGATGTCTGACATAATCACGCGTTGCGCAGCCTCGTCTGACGTAATCACGTGTTGAGTAGCCTCATTTATTCGCATCAAACAGTCGAGAGGGAAACTAGATGGAAACAGTTTAGATTCAAATTTTTATTTATTTAATTTTTTGCGAATTTTGAAAAGTTCGATAAAAATTCACTCTACAACTGGATGGAAACACGATTAGTGACACTTGAGCAAAAGTACAAGTATCTTAGCAGAAAAATACTTTGGTAAAATTTAAAGTCTACTTTAGGAATATTACTTGAGTAAAAGTCTTAAAGTATCTGATATTTTTTGTACTTAAGTATTAAAAGTCAAAGTGCTGATTTAAAATGAGCAGTTAGATTTTCTGTAAGGACATTTATTAGGAGGTGACCTCCCCCAAAAACTGCAGAAATGACTGTTGTATTAAAAGAATGAATGGATGTTAAATTTAGGATGCACTAGTCCAGCTGTTTCAGTTTATATACATATATCAAGGCTGCAC